TATCCTGGAGTATAAAAATCTGATCACCATATATCATTCTCTAGCAGAATCGGTAATGAGATATTGTATTGCTGCCTGGGGTGGCACTTTCAATAATTCCCTGAACATACTTCAAACAACTCAAAATACGATATTAAAAATATTGTTTAAAAAACCAAAATTATTCTCTACGAAATGTCTGTATGAGGAAACTCGATTACTAAAATCGAGAGACCTCTATATCCAACAATGTTTGATATGGGTGTTCATGAACAAATCCACACTTCAATCGATACACAAAGAAAAACAAACAAGATTCGTTACAAATTCATCTATACCCAGACAGCACTGGATATTCATAGAATATTCTCTAAATATGCTAAAAAGGAGGAGTATATTCCGAATATTCATCGATTATTCCTAGAATATATACATGCCTCTAACATCTAAAAGGAATATTCCAAAGTGAATAGTCGGACATGTTCAGGGAATATTCAGGTATGAATCTTCCAGGAATATTCCTAACTGAATATTCTCTGTTGTATATTCATGAAATATACCCAATTGAATATTCTGTACGGTATATTCATGAAATATACCCAACTGAATATTCTGTGCGGTATATTCATGAAATATTCTCAACCGAATATTCTGTGGTGTATATTCATGAAATATTCCATGAATATTCCTATGTTTCTCAACACATAAATAACATTTATTATTTCAGAGATGTGAGTATCGAACATCAATTAGATGTAAGGGGATTTTGAAACAAAAAGTGTTTATGATCCGATTTCGAACAATGCTCTCACAAGAACTTGATATGTATAAGATTATTCAATTCGTTTACTGGCCTAGTGGTCAAGGCGTCGCTCTGATAGTCTTGAGGTCACGAGTTCGATCCCTACTTGGGTCCCTTTTTTTAATTTTAGAATATGTTTATTGGAATATTCCAGGAACATTCAACATAGAATATTCTTTTGGGTATATTCTATGATTATCTGAGGAATTCCCATTCGCATATTTAGAGAATATTCCACAGATATTCCGGAATATTCCAGATTATTTCTAGAATATTCCAATATTCCAAAAGGAATATGATAGGGAGATTCATGGAATATCTGGTGCTGTCTGGGTAAATCTACCAGCATTCAAAAAGAGTCACACCCAGAGATGTATTTTCTATCATGGTCCGAAATTATTCAATCTCCTGCCAGCCAGCATAAGAAATATTTCCGATCTCAATAAATTCAAAAAATCAATCAAGTCATTCATCATTAATACCGAACTTCTGGATTTATTCAGCTGAATGGAAATGATATTCAACAGACTCTTCACTTCTCCTTCTCGTCACTTTTTATCACTCTTCAAATTCATTATTCATCATTTTATTTTATTGTTCGTAAATAGGTATGCCTATATAGGTGAATGTATATATGCTTGTATTATATAATATATATATATATATGTATAAAGGGAATGGAAGGTATTTTTAGGGCAATACTATACAGGCTGATTCACGGTGGATGGCACATTAGACGTTTCTGGTGAACCAGACAACGGATCATTTAGAAAATTTAATGGAGGGCATATTCGGACATTCTCTAGCCAACTAAAATATTTTCGACAATGCGGTGTTGCCGCTTCTATTAGAAAGCAGTAGCAACTATGATTTTTCAAATGGAACACTCTGTATTTTATTGCATTTTTAGATTCTCCTTGAAGAGCTGATTTTATCGATGTATCACACTTGGGGTCTAGCGGAAATGATTACAGAGATATAGGGTGTGGAAAATCGACATTTTTCAACTTCAGGAATTTTTGTTGTCGAAACTATTCATTATTGGTCAAAACGGCTCACATGTCCCTATCTCAACTTTTGATCAACTATCTACTGACATTTAATTGAAACAAATACAGGGTGGTGCAGAATTCAGAATCTTGATCACCCGGTATATGTCCCAATTAAATATCAGTAGATAGTTAATCAAAAGTTGAGATAGGGACATGTAAGCCGTTTCGACCAATGATGAATAGTTTCGACACAAAAAAATCATAAAGTTGAAAAATGTCGATTTTTCACACCCTATATCTCTGTAATCATTCCCGCTAGACCCCAAGTGTGATACATCGATGAAATCAGCTCTTCAGGGAGAATCTGAAAATGCAATAAAATACAGAGTGTTCCATTTGAAAAATCAAAGTTGCTACTGCTTTCTAATAGAAGCGGCAACACCGCATTGTCGAAAATATTTTAGTTGGCTAGAGAATGTCCGAATATGCCCTCCATTGAATTTTCAAAATGATCTGCTGTCTGATTCACCAGAAACGTCTAATGTGCCATCCACCGTGAATCAGCCTGTATATAAACTTTTGAACTGCCATAGTTGAAATGATTATCATGTCATTTTTGAACACCCTGAATGGTGGATGGAAAGCGCAACACAAGTATTATAGATACTTAGGTGCATCCATCCTCACATGAAGGGTTGTAATAAACTGATTGTATATCAACTGTATTCGAAAAAAAAAAAAAGAGAATAAACTTGAAACTTGAAACATAGCACATTTGAGCCTAACATATGTTCAATCATAACACACATATTACTAGCCTCAAATTAGTTAAGCAAGTTGATAATATTAGAAATTTAGACGCATATGAAAGCTTAGAGATATTTAAGAATAGTAATAGAGTAATGAATAAGGATAATGGACCTATTCCATTATAGCCCTCTATATAGTTCAGTAATATAAAAATTAAGATTAACATGTGAACTCAACCATGACAAACATTAACTTGACGATTAGTATTTTTCACATATACCTAGAATATAAGCAGCACACTAGAATAGGATATTTAGTTTTAATCTTCTCCTGAAGATGCCAACATAGTTAGCGAAACACGTGTCGAGGCGTTTACAAAATCGGTTTGGTTAGTGTTAAAACACTGTAGTGTAAGATTATCATAGAGAAAGAGAAATTGATTGCAAAACTACGTAATGAAATTGAAAAGTTGGGAACGAAATTGAGGAAATCAAGTAAATTGCAACGTGGTATAATATCATTGAATTGCTTTCTCAATAGGTACCAACCGAATTCAAAATTTATCATTGAAAAGTAAATGCAGCAAAAGGTGGAAATCAAAACAATCTTCATGTTTCAAACTTCACCACTCGGGTATAGTTTTACATACAATAAGGAACTATAGCTATAAGTATATCCATATATGTCTATTTTGTCATATCAAAATGTTATTGTTACATGAATTCTTTTCATTTTTATAACTATTGTTCTGCAAAAAGTGTATCGCTACATAAATTGAAGTGGGTGTTTATACCCTATTCAGCTGTGTCCAAACTCTTATCTATAACTAATACCGTTGATTGATATATTACGCAGCGTAATATATCAATCAACACTAATACCATTCAAATATTATCATTTGTTTTACTAGGCAGAAAAGTACAAGATTTAATGCCGCGGCTGGCGTTTCATAGCCAAGGCATTACATCTTCTTTTCTGCCATGTGAAACATAATTCTTTCTCCAAATTCTTTTCAGTTTCACGCAAAGTCTGAATAATCTATCATTTTTTGTTCACCCAAAGTCATTGTCAATTTTGATTACCAATTTGATTCAAATTGCTTGGAACGTTGCATAGCAACAAACTTTTTCTGTCTGGGCAGTAAAAGTACACCTTTTCTGCTTGTTAACCTTCCAGTATTCGCACGCGGAGTATCACTCCGCACGAATATAAAACGCGAGTTTTCTCGAATACCTATACTTCATTCCCTCATTCCGCCGCACTCAGAACCTTCCTAAAATGACGACTTCAGTACGAACCGAGTATTACCGATGTGCAAAATTGCTTCATTTCATCGTGTAGTGCGGAGTCGTACTCCGCAGCGAGCTTAGACGTCTTATTGCATATTGCAGTTACACTTTGCAGCTATTTTGGGCGTTTTAGGCAAAAATTTTGTCTCATTTGATGAATGATATTTCATAAAATACCGTTTTGTAAACAGATTGCCGATGAGTCATTGGTGGTTTGAGATTGAAACATTTTCAGTTTGTCCTCAAATTATAGTGTTTTTGTTCGAATTCTAGGTAGTTATCAAATCTTCGATAGTTGCCTTATGTTAATTTTGGGTTTTGTTATTGAATATAGTTATTTTTGTATCTAGAGCGCGAAATGCTACTTTGGTGATCGAGATCTGATTTTTTTACGAGGCGTAGCCGAGTTAAAAAAATAGTCGAGATGTCCAAAGTATTTCGCGCTCGAGTTGCAAACAAATTTTTTTCTACAAACGTCAAAAAATATAGTTCTTAAGTAAAAATATGCTTAGCTTGATATAGAAAATAGTGTTGAACTGGCTTAAAAGCCTCCCACTATCCTTCCTCGGTACGCACGATGTTCCACGAGCATAATGGGGATTTTCTTTCGTGCGATCCAAGAGATAAAACAAAGCTATTGATCAACATTCAGAAATGAATGTTTTCGTGAATGTTTGCTCGATTGAGGACCACAAAGTTGAAATATAAATATCTCATATATTTTACATAACAGTGCGCGAAGTAGGTACTTCGCGCACTGTTTTACTTCGCGCATTGTTATGTGCAAGGTATCATGGTAACGTAGGAAACTGAAAAAAAGTGTCACTTCGCAGTTTGTTATCAATGCGCGAACCTTGTCATTTTTTGACGTTTGTAGAAAAAATATATTTTTATTGCGATTTTGACATTTTACTTCGTAGAGATATTTATGTTCAAAGACATACTGATGAAATTTTCGGAAAATTCAAGTCATCATGTTCGAACCACCCGAATTCTCCATTGCGGAGTCAGACTCCGCAGCGACAGACTATGTCCTTTTTAAGGCGCGACTACTGGAAGGTTAAGTGTCATCAAAAATCCACTTCTAATGTCATTTGGAGAAAAAGTGACTTTGTTTGACTTGCTTTTGTGACACAGTGTCACTTTTGATCCTAATTAAACATTCTACTATTTTTGTTTCTTTTTCAGTGCCTGGGCAACCACGAATTCGACAACGGCGTTTCGGGCCTGTTGCCGTTCGTCAGTGCCCTTAAGTTCCCCGTCTTGGCCGCCAACCTCAACTTCAGCCAAGTGCCAGAATTGGCGCCGTACGTCGACAAATCGACGATAGTGGAACGGGGAGGCCGCAAAATCGGCATCATCGGCCTGTTGACGCCCGAGACGAAGCTGATCTCGAATCCGGGCAAAGTGATTTTTCTAGATGAGGTGATTTTTTAATTAAAAGCTTTTTTCTGCAACCGACACAAAAGTCGTCCATTTTGATACCAAAATTAGCTCTTAAATTGACGTTTCTATTACTGACACAAGAATAGGTATGTTGCTAGGCAACATATTTAGTACCTAGGAGCTAAAGTTGAATTTTAGTTCCTAGGAGCTAAAGTTGAACTTTAGCTCCTTGGAACTAAAAAAGCTCTACTGGACGTCATCAAGAATGAACAACATTTTGACGGTTGGTTATTTGGGTTGAGACGCATACCTGATTTGTTTCCGATTTCAGCAGATTTGGCATTTCATACCCATGCTGGAGATATAAAAACACCTTATAATAGTTTAGTATTGGAATTATAAACATCTCAGTTGAGTATTTTTGTTTTGATCAGGGAAGCCTTCAAGATTCAAATACTTGCTTGATCTGTATTTCATTCGTTATTCTCGGGATGGATAACTTGTTTTTGAATAATCACGGCAAGCAATAGTTTTTTGTCTCAAACAACGATATTGTTTAGCTTCATTTGATTATTAAGTCAAATACAGTGTGGTATGGCACTGGCACGGTATTTGCCATTAGAGCAGCACCTGGTCCATACACAAATATGTCACTTTGTGGTTGTATTTATGAAACTACAATTCGAACATCCTAGAAAACCTAACCTGCTGTTAATGCAGGTAGAATATTCTCACCACATGGATTATTTGTCAATATTTGTTGCATTGCATACATATGGCACGGCATTGTTGGTTACTTCACATGTTTATTTGAGTTAATTGTTTCGGTTGCAGAAAAAATAGCATGTTTCATTCGGATCAAAAGTGACTTTGTTCGACTCGCAAATTTTGCTTTCGCTCGGCTTCGCTAAACGCTCCGCCTCGCAAATGCAAAATTCGCTTGTCAAACAAAGTATCACTTTTGATCCTTATAAAACAATCTACTATTATTTAACTTGCATTGTATGTTTGTATGGTTGTATGGATGTATACAGGGTGTTTCATAATTGAATGTCAATATTCGAGGAGGTGATTCTTGGGCCCATTCTAAGAAGAAGGTTTCATATGATCGTATGACCTAAACGTCCTAACTTTCAAGATACAGGGTGGTAAAGTTCTCAAAAATTAATATAGCCTACTACAATGAGAAGTTATAATTCCAAAATACCAAATACGAATACGAAGTTCATAAACTATGAATTGAATTTCTGAAATTTGATCAAAAAATGAAATCTATTTCTCTGCATTGTGATATTGTCATATTAACGATATCGCTAAAATCATCTAAAATCATGTAGTGAAAAGCTTCTGATTTTTTAAAGCGAAAACCGTGCATCGGATTGAAAAAATTGTAGAGATCAAATTTGCTTAGAAATGATTGAGAATTTCAGGAATGATTTCAATTTCGAGATTAATCAGTGGCATACCATCAATGTCTGCCAAAATAGGTATGTGAAATTCCATACGAACGCCACTGGTCGCAACAAAATAAATGTGATACACTAACTGATGCCTCTTAATACATAGTACATGTATGCCAAATTTGATCAGAATATCTGAAGTGGTATTACAGATATTAATAAAAAAACTATTAATTTTCGAAAACTTTACCACCCTGTATCTCCAAAGTTAGGAAGTTTAGGTCATACGTTCATACGAAACTTTCTTCTTAGAATGGGCCCAAGAATCGCCTCCCCAAATATTGACATTCAATTATGAAACGCCCTGTATATGTTCGGGTGGAATCTTTGAACTCAATTTTGAAGTAGAAATCTTCAACCGATTGAGCTGAAATATTGTATACACGTTCAGTTTGGATGACAATGCACGATAAGGTGTGTCACGTTCTTCTAAATCCAATATGGCGGACTATCCAAGATGGCGGAATAGCTATTTTTGATATACTTTTACAATATGGGTATCAAATGAAAAGGCTCGTTGAGAGTATTTCAAAAAATGATGTGACGTCATTCTAAATCGAATATGGCGGACCATCCAAGATGGCGGAATGGTCATTTTTAATCTACTTCTACAATATGGGTACCAAATGAAAGGGCTTGTTGAGAGTAAATCGAAAAATAATGTGACGTTATTCTAAATACAATATGGCGGACCATCCAAGATGGTGGACCATCCAAGATGGCAGAATGGTCATTTTCGATCTACTTTTACAAAATGGGTATATAATGGAAGGGCTCGTTGAGAGTAACTCGAAAGATAATGTGACGTCATTTTGTGGCGGAATGTCAAGCATACGTGGCTTTAAGTAGGGTAAAATCATTAGAAGGTCTCCTTATTGAAGAGCTGGACTGTTCGAAATTAATTGGCAAACGACCTTGCAACAATGATGCGTTGACTGAGAAATCCAGCTAGCGATAACTAAAAATTAAAAAATATATTAAAAGTAAAAAAAAACTTTTTAATAAAAAGCTTTTATTCAAACGATCTAAAAAGAAGAAAATAAAATGTTTCTCAATAATTTTAACTATCAACTTTATAACCTCATTATACACAATTTATATGGTCATAAAACTTGTCGCGATGATCAATATTTGAATAAATTGTAATTTTAAAAATTTTATCTCAGCAGATTTTACATAATTAAATAAGTACTAGTTCATTCACACAAGTGAATCGCGCGACAAACTTTTATGGTCATAAATTGTGTATAATGAGGTTATAAGTTGATAGTTAAAATTATTAAGAAAAATTTTATTTTCTTCTTTTTAGAGCGTTTAAATAAAAGCTTTTTATTAAAAAGTTTTTTTTTTACTTTTAATTTATTTCATGTTGAAAATGTGAACAAACCACTATTCATCGAGATACAGGGTGTCCGGAAATTATGCGCAAAAAATCAAGGGGATGATTCTGCATCGATTCTGCATGAGAAAACATGAAATTTACTTCATATACACGTGGGTCCGGAAATGCATAGTTTTCAAGATACCTCAGTGTGTTAATCTATAAAAAAAAATCGTTTTTTTATGAATATCTCCACCGATTATCTTGAAATTTGGCAATGATTATATTTTTCATGAGGGGCTGATTTACCCATAATTTAATTGGAATTATGAAATCCAGTGGCGTTCCGAAGGCACCCTACCGAATATTATTGTCAATAAAATGTGCGCCACAAATTGTGAATTTTTCTTTTAGGCTCTCTGATTGGAAAATAATGTTTTAAACGCAGTTACATTTTGGGACAGATCATTTGATTTGTCCTAACTACACGTATATTGAAATAGTATTCATATCTTCATTTTATATATAGAGACGAGAGAAAATCCCAAAAAATCTAGAATAATGCATGAAAAAACGATTTCTTTAAAGTTCAACACACTGTATGTTGAAAAGTATATGCATTTCCAGACCCACGTACATTTAAAATGAATTTCTCATTTTATCATGTAGAATCACCCCCTTGATTTTATGCGCAATAATTTCCGGACACCCTGTATATCACGAAAATGTTCAAAATCAGACAATTTTTTCCGCTTCTAGAATACGCATTTAGAGAGCTACTTGTCCTTCTTTTTTTCTACTCACATAACTTTAATGGCATTCAGCGACAAGCGTCTAGCTGGACCAGAAAATCTTTCTAGACGTCAAGTGACGTCACCCACAACACATGATATTGCCTTCTTCTTTAAGTAAAGGGATAGCTTAGTGGTCTGTGTATCTGTACTCAATTGTTCAGAAATATAATTTTCAGGAAAAAGGTTCATTTAGGACAAATTAGGTTGAAAGAACTTTCCCTTTTCATGCAGAAGAGATATTTCCCTTCCTCATATTACCTTATTAGTCTTATATACACGAATAACCTTCTGATAACCTTGAGGTTGGAAAGATTCGTTTTTTTTATGTCCTGGTTCCCACGGAAAGGGATATCCTGTAAGGTTGAGATAACATCGTGAGAACCTAGGGAAATAAGGTAGGAATTGGTGTTCTTCTTAAATTTCTGGAGGTTATATGCCTCGGGGAACACCTCCATTGGCAATGTGTTCCAGAGCCTCGCTGTTCGTTGGCTGAACGAGTCTTTGGAAAGAGATGTTCTGCAGGTCTCTAAAGTGATTACGAAAGGGTGCGAAGCCTCAACTCGATGGGTTAATCTCGCGGGGTCTGTCAAGGGAGGTACAATTCTCGATATTTCAGGAGAGCAGCGTCAATGAAGATATTTATAAAAAAGAGCCAAATCGCCAACTTTTCTACGGTGTTCCAGAGAAGTGAGTGAGTTTGTGAGCGAGGCATCACTCACGAGACGAATTGCCCTTTTTTGGACAGAATCCAACAGTTTCAGGGTATGTTTGGGTGCTGCACTCCAAATATAAGAACAGTATTCAAGGACAGGTCGGATCTGGGCCTTATAGATCATAAGCAGCTGACTGGAAGTGAAATAGCTCCTGGCCCGAAACAGAAAACCAAGTTTTTGGGATGCACTTTTAGCAATTGATCTCACGTGATTTTCCCAAGAAAGGTTATTGCTGATAGTAATACCAAGCATCGAAATGGATGTCTTCAAAGGTATGGTTACTCCTGACAAGCTTATGTTTGGCACAGTGAGATCGGCTTTTCTAGGGAAAAGGCATGCTTGTGTTTTGTTTGCATTGAAATCTACCAAGTTATTGGATCCCCATTCGAGAATTGTTGCGAAGACCATATTTATGTTGTCAAAATTTCTCCCTCGTTCGTTTCTGATTTGCCTGGCTGGTATTGGAGCCCTGGAAGAGAAGGCGGTATGGAGGGTACTATCATCCGCGAAGCTGTCTACTGGACATGAAGTTGCTTCCAACAAATCGTTGATATGGAGTAGAAATAGTGTTGGTGCTTGAATTGATCCTTGCGGAATACCAGCATTTATGATAAGAGAGTCAGATGAAACTTTGTCGACCACTACATGGAGAGACCTGTTTGAGAGAGAACTAGCTAGCAGAAAACATAGCTGGGGAGTCAAGCCATGAGATGGAAGCTTGGCGAGGAGACCGTGGTACCAGACTCGATCGAATGCCTTGGAGATATCAAGTGCCACGGGTAAGGTTTCACCATATTTTTCAATAGATTGTTGCCATATATGTGAGACGTAAGCGAGCAGGTCACCAGTTGATCTCTGATGACGGAAGCCATATTGCCTATCGTTGAATGTTCCAGGTATTTCATGAGCTCGATGTTGATAGCTTTCTCCATCATCTTTGAAATGATAGATAGCAGTGCGATCGGTCTGTAGTTGCTAGGTAGGGTCTTTTTGCTTTTTTTAGGAACTGGTTGTACTCTTGCAATTTTCCAGTTGGACGGGAATATCCCCAATTTGTAAGAGTAGTTGAACAACTTGCAGAGAACAGGTGTTAGTTCGGGAGCACATTTCTTGAGAACAATCGGTGGGACTCCGTCGGAGCCACAAGCTTTGTTGGTGTTGAGACCCAATAAAATCTTCCCTACAGTACGTTGGGGAAAGGCGATCTCGGGCATAATCCAGGGTGGAATTTCCAGCAAATAAATGCGCAAAAATGTTTGCTTTGTCCTGGGCAGTTGTGGCTAGTATTCCATCTTCCTTGGTTGGAGGAGGAAACGAGCTGGAAGTGAAGTTTCTTCCTACAGCTTTGGCGAAGGACCAAAATGAACGGGATCCGTTGGGACATTCATTATAATTAGGGTATTATCATAATCTGTCAAGTCAGTCACATATTGGTGGTAGCTTCACATATTCATTTTAGTTCATTATTTCGGTTGCAGAAAAAATAGCTTGTTTCATTGGGATCAAAAGAGACGTTGTTTGACTAGCAAATTCTGCTTTCGCTTGGCTTTGCTAGACGTTCCGCCTAGCAAATGCAAAATTCGCTTGCCAAACGAAGTGTCACTTTTGATCCTTATAAAACAATTTACTATTATTATTTTTATTTCTGACAGTGACATTATGAGCTGATATCGTCATAGTTACGATATCTATAATGGGGGTCATAACTCCCTTGGGATATTAAGGTTCAAAAACTCCCTCTCTTACCTTTTACAGGTGAAAATGATACAAGAAATGCTTATAAACGTTTATATGTGATGAAAACTTAGACATATTTTCCTTATTCACGTCATTACAAATAATAAATGTACAATTTTCAAATGTTCCCTGAAAATTACTTCCGCCGCTTAAAAAAAATAAACATGTGACATAGCGACAACCTAGCAACAACCAACAATGCTACAATCAACGCTACCTAATTCAAATATACCAGAAAGGTTATGAATTTAAACATTTATTGCGTTCTAAATATGGACATATTGTTATGAAAATCGGTCAGAAATAAAATTATCTATGTACCACGGGAATTATAGAGCCTTAATAACCTCTGGCAATTGCTGTCCCTCGGGCCAGAGGCCCTCGGGACGCAAACTTTGCGATCGGTAATTAAGGTCCTCATAATTCCCTTAATACATAAATAACTATTATCATCATTATCATGTATTCGAAGGTGGAGTCAGCCAAAGCCGAGAGCGAGCGCCTCGACGCCCTGGGCATCAAAATCATCATCGTCCTGGGCCATTCGGGATTCCTCAAGGACCAGGAGATCGCCGCGAAGGCGCCCCTGGTGGACGCCGTCGTGGGCGGGCATACCAACACCTTCCTGTGGAACGGGCCGCCGCCCGATACGGAGGCGGTCGACGGGCCGTATCCGGTGGTGGTGACGCAGGAATCCGGGAAGAAGGTGCCGGTCGTGCAAGCGTACGCCTACACCAAGTATCTGGGTGAGTAGAGTCCTTGCTTGTATACACTAGAGTCCCTGTATATACCTTAGACAAGAGTCCAGACACAAAACTGACAGCCGTTGGGGTTTTTAATATTTTGTTTCATTTGGTTTGCCCTCCTGACAATGTGACGAAACACCATAATCGTCCTGCCCGCTTTTTTTAATGATATCGAATTTCTGTCACTGTCACTTTGAAATTTTATGACCGCCAAAATTTTGCATTTTAATTATTTCAATGTCCAGCTGCGTACATTATTATTATTTACCAGTTGGTTCAAAATTAGTAAGGGGGAACTGACTTTATACGGGCACTGTATATGCTGCCGGTTATTCGAACCCGGCCGATGGCCATCAGATAAATTTTTCAATGAGAAATTGGCTCCAGCATAATCTTTGTGAGGCAGTGAGCAAATTTTTCTAAAAGTTCAATACGTTTTACCAAATGGGACCGTTCTTAGACAGTACCTATCAATAAATGAATTTTGATTTCAGACTAAGCCTTATGGTTGAGAAATGATAAAAAATCGTATGTAGGTATTTAAACTAATGTGCTCATATGTCATGTGTGCCGTATATATTCATGTTGGGAATCATTTCTGCAGTTTTTCACGAACACTCAATATTTCCTGAATGTAGGTATAATTTTTTAAATGGTAGGGCATATGCCTCTTCTTCTAATCCTCCGTTTTAATCAAAACTGTTTCTTCTAAAATGAATTCAAAAACTTGTGGAGTGGAAATTATTGGCAGTTTCACCTCGATGTATTTACCAATTTTTCCCATTCGGACACTTCACTTTCCATGTTCTAAGTTCATTTGCATTTGATTGAAAGCTGACAAATTCAAATTTGCCATTTAACTGATTGATACAGCCTAACGCAGCACATTTTACCATCCTTCCAAAACAGAATTGAATAATGTCGTATTAAGATCAAGTATGAAATTAAAATTCCATAAGATCTCTTTTACGCCTATAAATGTGACGTGATAGCAATGTCATGTCAGGGACGCCAATACACGAAACCAAAGTCACTAGATGATTATAAGAGAAAGGAGCTATGATCTGTCTGTACCCTGTTAGATGACAAATACGTCAGTTTGCATCAAGGAACCCTAGTATACACTAACTTTACGAATTGAATATTGTAAAGTTTCGGTGCATCGGCTTGGGATGGTCCTGCACGATTGATTGTTGCGTTACAATTAACAGTGCTGCTATACTAAAGTGGCGCATAGGTGAGTTATACAAAGCCTAAACGGAACACATTTTTTCTCGAGGTTGAAATCCTTTATGGACATCATATGGGTCTAATCCCCCATATGATAGTGTGGGAGTCCCCTGACCCTAGCCAGGGTATACCCACTAAACATTCCCACCCGCTTCAATGTCCCCGACGACACTTTATTATTGTGCCCACTCCATTATCTCTGTACCTTGACAAGTCTGTCCAGATCCTTCACTGAATGTGAGTTATATACTTCTGGTTCGCCAACTGGTTGCCCAAAAATCTACTGTCTTTTGCGGTCTAATACCTCGCATCTCCACATTATATGTGATACTGTTACTGGTTCCTTTCCGCATAGTCTACAGCTTGGGTCGCCATTATACAGTCCCATTCTGGTGAGGTGCTTCTTTACTGGCGCATGGCCAGTCATGAGTCCTGTAACTGTGTTTATTTGTACTCTGGTCAAGTTGAGCAGGTCTACAGTTCGTTTCTAACTTGGTTCCTTAATATATTGTTTTCCATGTCTGTTTCTTGTGATGTTTTCCCAGTAGATCTTATGTTTTATTGCCTGAACCCAGTCTTTAACTGACCCTCGTGCTGTACGTTGTGGTACTCCAAGAGTATGTCCTGGATCTGGCTCGTTGTCCGACCCTCTTCTTGCAAGTTCGTCAGCCTTCTCATTGCCAGCGATCCCCTGATGTCCTGGCACCCAGATCAGCTTGACGCAGTTCTGGTCTGTCAAAGTTCTCAGTACCCTCTTGCAATCTCATACCAGCCGAGATATCACTTCCTGGCTTTCTATTGCCTTCAGGGCCGCTTCACTGTCTGACACAATGCGGATCTGCTCATTTTTCACGGACATTGGAGAATTGCGTAAACCTCTGCTTGAAAAACTAAGGCATACTTCCCCAATGAGTAGCTGAGGCTAATCTCCGGATGTTCGGAGTATACTCCTGCTCCTGCCCCATTTGCAGTGTTGGACCCGTCTGTATACCAGATCTTTACCTGCAGTACGGTGTTGAGTTCTCCATCATCCCATTCAGATCTGTCTGGTATGGACCCTCTGAATGAAGTGTCAAATAAATATCGTTCCGAAATGGGATCTGTTCTCATATTAAGTATGTCATTGCTTATTATTCTGACGATGCTCGTATGTCCTGTTATTCCTATATGTTAACGTTGCCCAGTGAATTTCGCAGTCTGAAGGCACCAAGCCCCGCCTCTCTCTGTACCATCAAGTGGAGGGGAGGGAGATCCAGTAGTGTTTCCATGGCTGCGGTTGACGTTGACCTCATGTCCACTATAATTCCTATAGACATGCAAGTCTTTGTATCTTGCTCAGTCACACATAAGAAAAGCTGGTGAGCTTGAGAGCTGGCCAATTCTGCTCAGTGAGCCTCTAACGGCAGTTTATGGTGTACATTACTAGTCTAAAAAACACAACCGAAAAACTCTGAAAGAGATCAGCTGATAGACGGTACCTGGAAAGGCGTATCCGAGGCTAGAAAACAAGTCAAGGCACTGAATCTGCTATTCTGTCATGTGGCACATATATATTTCTCTCCAAATGCGTTACAATTTCACGCAAAGTCCAAATAATCACCCAAATTCATTGTCAATTGATTACCTATTTGATTCAATCGAAAGTTTACATAGCAACAAACTCTTTCTGTCTGTTAAGTGTCATTGAAAGGCCACTTTTGATATCACTTGGAGAAAAATAACTATTTCTTTGAGATTGCAGACCATGGGAATTGCCAATATGAAGAGGAATTCTTCGTTACATAGCGGGCTTTTGAATTATATAACATTTTCAGTAGATATATAAAATACAAACCAAAATGTTGAGAATTCTACTGAACAATGAAAAACGTTGACAAAGCGCTTTTTACATGACCACTGGCATTAGTAAAATAATTTTTACGGAGGGTTGTAGCTACAGCATATAAATTAAATCAACTTCATGAATATAATATATAGACAATGTTTAATTTCGAAGATTTCCCGCTTTTAACGCGCTTAATAGGTAATCCCGTATACTTGACAATCCCATGAGTGTAAGTAACTCATGATTTCAGGAAGACTAAACTTGACCTTCGACGACAACGGAGACCTCGTCAAGTTCTCCGGCCAACCCGAGCTGATGGTAGCATCCATTCCCCAAGAAGAAGACGTCCTCAGGTTGTTGGAGACGTACCGGCCCGAAGTCGATAAGGTCAACACCGAAATAATCGGTCGGTCAAAAGTCACCTTGGACGGAGACAGCAAACTCTGCCGGTCGAATGAATGCAACTTCGGGAACTTACTCACCGACGCTTTGGTGGCATACAAGGTATTTAACTCGGTATTAAATGTGTATATTTTTCTTCAGGGATTATTTTCATTTAATTGTGAAATCCAGGCGCGTATATACAGTTTTGTTTTATGGGGGGGGGGAGGTAATTCGTCGTGGCGCGGGGGTGACAGGAAGGAAAAAAGCGCTACAGGTCAAATGCCTTCAAATTGATAGTTAAGTTTATTCTGAGGGGTATATTCCAAATTCAGTTTGTTTTATTCACCTGGAAAATTAAATTTCCTAAAGGCAACAGAAATCAAAATATAAATGACAAGTTAACTTCGATCAAAAAAATGGTTGAGTATAATTTGATGAGACAAATATTTTATTGATTCTATTTTTATTTCATTTCATTCTTTGTTATAAATATAAATAGGTACGTTTTATTGAGGTTTACAATGTAATTTCATGAATAATCAGACAGATTCATATCTGCTATGAGATTATTCATGTGTTATCAAATAATATAAGTTATTGAAGCAAACAACAGATACAAATATAATAGTTGAAAAATATCTCATATAAAGTTCATTATGACATGATGAAATAAATTAGTGAATGAGAAATCATTCACTCAGGACTCAGGTTTGATTTTCCCTATGCAAGAGGATATGTTTCTCGACTTCAATTTTGAATTGGGTAATATCTGTGCAACTTTTGATATCATCAGGTGATATTTATTGAATTTTGAGATAGCTCTGTGAGTAAACTTTTTTGGCCAAGTGTAGAATTAGCAGCATCAAGATGAAACAAGTCATATTATCTAGTATGATGGTCATGGATTTGGGAGTTCCTTACCAATATGAAGTTAGATTTGAGGTGTTTGTTGATGATATATTAAGAAAGAGAGCATTGATCAGAAACAAACGCAAATGCTACATTATTGTTTATGTAAAATTTGTGTTTTTTACAAAAAGAATAATAATTTCATTCAATTATTATCAGAGGATCGGGTTCATGTTCAACGGCTCCCGTGCCCTTTAATCACAGAAAAATATCAAACTACACTCACCGGCAAAAAAATCCGGCCACCAAATAATTTACCCAAATTGTACACCCTGTAACTTTTTCAATTCTCTTCTGATTTTGGTGAAATCTCATGTTTTGGAATGTTAGTCTGGATATTATTTTCTAAGAGAAGCTGATGATTTGATGATTAGACAGGGAAAAACAAAAGTTATTCATTCACCCCTAACTTCCTAACGCCCTGTGGAAGAGGTGGATTGAAGTGTGATCTCTTCTCAGCACAATGGTTTTTGAATCACATCGACAACCACATTCTAAGAGAAGATACAAGTTTTTTAAGAAAGTATTGATTTTTCAAATTTTCATTAACAATATTTCAGAACCATTCTCCATCCAACCTTCTGCTTCATCATGTTTTGAATTGAAGTGTGATACTTTTTGGTCCCTTCTCAACACAATGGTTCTAGATTTCCCATCAATATCATCTTTTCAATAGAAGATACAAGTGTTTTAAAAAAGTATGGAATTTTATATTATATTTTTATTAACTATAATTCAGAATCTCTAGAGCATCTCAGGGATGAACTCCAGAGGCTCATTCGACTTCGTCCTGCCTAGTCAGAGACTCTTTAAGAGGTAATATTCGCCCTAAAAGGACCCCGCACTTTTTCTATATAAAAATGGCGTTCCGTCGAATTTCCCCAATTTTTGGTAAATGATAGTACTCGACATACTGATTGAATATGCCAAGTCCCAACTCAATCCTATGACTAGTTTACGAGATACAGGGTGTTGAAGTTGAAGAATACCTAATTTTTCTCGGCCTATATCTCTAAGATAGGACAAATGAATTCCAATTTTTCGGGAGCACGTAATAGTTATGCCCTTAGGCGCAAGAACTATATAGGTATTCGACCAAAACTGATTTTTATTACAGGGTGATTCTCATTTCAAATAATGTGTTTTTTTGAATATCTGAATATCAATGCTACAAATTGATAACAATTACAAAATGAGATTTATAGCCAAGTATGCTCTTCTTACATCAATTGAATTCGTAAAATATAATAATTATACATGGTGTTTCATTAATGCTGTTGATTGCATAATTGGTCTATCCTAAAGTTCATTGGGCCACCTCGTATTATCGGGTTGATTCCAGACATTCAAAATATTTTTGAAGGATGTATCCCAATGAGTTCCATGATATACAGAGTGATTCATCGATTGAAAAAATTGACAACCACGAAAAAATATTCAAAAACCACTATTTTTTTCATCACCCTCTAATTCGAAATTATTACCGTCGATGTAAGATTTTTTTCCACCAATATACTCAGTATGGATATTTCAATCAAATTGGGAATTTTCAGACCCATGCTATGACTAGTTTTTTTTATACATCGAATAATGTGAAAATAATTATGGAAAAGTAATTACATAATAACACGAAAAATTGCTCCGAATCGCAAAACTAGTAGTCACTAGTCAACTATGTCAAAAAATGTGATTTGTTCGTAAACAAAATCTAGTGGTCTTATTATAGGTCCGCTAGCAAAACATCTCGAAAATGTTTTTCAGAAAACATCAAACAAATCACAATATGCCCCCGAAAAAATCTCATCAACGACACAACTATTCTACGCACCCCTTTCATCAACTTTCAACTCATCAACGATCCCACTCATAAACGTGCTAAAACTCATGAGCGTTCGAAGTCGACAGCGGTTTTTCCCAACTCAATCCTATGACTATACTTTTCGAAAAAAATATGAAACTAAACTTCCGCAAACGCCTAGTGAGAGGTGCGCGTTAATATATTTTGCAACTCTCCTTTATCCAACCAACTTCCAATCTTTTGATCATACTGTATATTGTTAGAATCGAAGTTAGTATATGCACATCGGAAAGACACTAAAGTTGGAGTTTTGGTTATGTAGATATTCGTTACCGGGTTCAGTATAGACTTGAAAGAAAAATGGAATACAGGAACATCAGTAGGTACCGAGGAATCATCATTTATCCAACACATCAAAAATATAGTAAAATAATAATGAAACAATCTCGAAGCCTCTTTCTTCCACTCAATATCAATTCAGAATTGCAATCATAGATTTTGAAAAAATACATGAACCAACTCGTTTTCCAACAACATCTATTTGTTGGAAGAAATAGTGGCATTAGGTAATGTATATCGTAAGATATACATACCGTAATAGATCGATAGACATCCTCAAATAACTATAAAATTATATTTTAGGGTAAGTTCTAGTCCCAATTCAAGTTGACAACTGATATTTTCGGAATCGGCGGGGTCGAATTAGTCTAGAAACTTGGGTTGTCACGAATTAATAAGTATGTTTTACTTCGTAGAAGTCGAATTTGGATTATCGCAACCAGATAGAATATTTTTCAGTAGGCTTAGAAAACAAAATCATGATATCAATAAATGTGTCTGTCATCCAGCAACTTTCGGGTTGTCAGTATCTTAAAATATCATATCAGCGTATATCTTTATTCTGAGTGTTTTTTAAGTCGTTTTCAGTAATTGTTTAGTGAATTTAGTGCGCATTATGGCATTTGCAAATAGGGTAAGATGTTATGTATGCGAAGGGAATTTCATTCCTAGACTCACAATTCGTATAAATCGTGAAGATAATGTTGATTTTCTGCAAATTGCAACATTTAGAAGACAAGCTGCTGGAAATCCTCCAATTGACATTTTTGATGATACCAGAGTTTGTTTCAATTGTCATAACAGTGTAATAATTGATATCAATGAGATGGAAAATAACCCAAACTGTCTTCGCCTAAATGTATTGAGTCCAGTAATGAGCCGTGCCTGCATAATCTGTAATGCTCGTCAACATGTTCAGAGAATAACTCTTGCATGTAGGGTGAACATTTTTGTTGTAACGAATATTTATGTTCCGGACTTTCTGAGAATTTGTGGTCATCATCTTGACCCTCATGGATTTCTCTTGAATAATTTGCATGGAGGTTTGAATTTTATCAACAAACCCTATTTGATATCAAATATGCTTCAATTTCTACAGTGTATGAGAACAGTTGCCAATGAAAATAGACGTATTAGAAACTGGGATGATATTGATAGTTTTACAGAAGAAGAGTTCAAAGCTCTGACGTCGATTTCAAAAGAAGATTTTCAAGAACTTTATGGATTTTGTGATACAATCGAGCAAGGGGGAAATAGAAGGCATATCAAAAAGAAACATTTACTGACATTTCTAATCAAAATGAAACATGGAGTTTCAGATGAGTTTTTGAAAATCTTGTTTCATTTTTCTTCAAGACAAACAACTAGCTTGATAATATCGAATGTGAGGATATCTCTAATGCAAAGATTTGTAACTAATAATATTGGTTTCGACTCTATTACAAGAGACGATTATATTAATAGACACGTGTCTGTATACACCAATCAGCTATACAACCCTTCTCCCAATATCCCAAAAGCAATTGTGTATATAGACTGTACATATAACAAAATAGAAAAAAGTAGTAATTTCCGGATATTGAGACAATCCTACTGCTTCCATAAAAATGAGCACCTGGTTAAGCCTGAAATTATGGTCGCTCCTGATGGCTACATCTTGGCAATTAATGGTCCATACTTTTCTGATGCTAGAAATAATGATGCCACCATTCTGCAGCATGAGCTACAGAATGATATAAATAGAATGAGGACATGGTTTCAAGAAGGCGATGTAGTGATAGTCGATAGGGGTTATAGGGACTCTATTGGTCTTTTACAGGATCTTGGTCTCCATTACCATATGCCACCATTTCTACCACCAAACCAAAGACAACTCACAACAATCGAAACTAATAGGGCACGCTTAATTACTAGCACCAGATGGATTGTAGAGGCTAGAAATGGGCATTTCAAATCGATTTTCAAATTTTTCCGAGGAGCGATATCAATAACACATGTTGCAAAATTACGCGAATTCTATTTGATTGCTGGCGCCCTAATAAACAAATACCATCCTCCAATAAGGATGCCGGGCACATTGGAATTAGCTACACAAATGTTGCATGATATCGAAGAAGTCAACATTGTTCAGGCCCGAGTTGAGGCTGAAAACCTCCGTACAAGAAATGGTCGATGGTTTCGTTTGAACCATAGACATGTACCGACGTTTCCTCGACTTGACTTAGAATATTTGAAAACACTCACAGGGTCATATCACATTCACTTAGCTGCCTCCTACATACAAGACACGATACAAAGAGATGGAGGGGAACAAAATACACTCGATATTGACGAACTCATTGAGGAACCCAATTTTTTAAGATTTCGAGTATTTTCTCGGTTCAGAAATGCCACTAAACATATGCTGTGGTTAGTATTCAGAGAAATCGATGATAATAATTTACAAGATCCGCCCATTTTAGGGTACTACTGTACTTGTAGGTCCGGTGCTAGAACATTAGGGACGTGTGCACACGTAGCCAGTGTGGTATGGTTCCTTGGATACGCAAGAAACCAAGGAAATATTACCTTTCCATCTGATCGCCTTTTGAATTGTATCGACGATGCTGCAAATCGATTGAATCCTGAAAATATGAACATCGGTCCGGAACTGATTTGAATCTGGCGATTAGTTGATTTCTGTGTTCCTTGTGAAACATAATTATAGTAGTAGTAGTAGTATATGTCCTTCGTTGGTAGGTATGTACATACCAACCAACCATCGATCCCTAATGAGGTCCTTTAGCCCATAGTGTTCTGAACATGTATCTATATTGTATGTAGGCACGCAACAGTGAATCGTGCAGGACTATCCCCAGCCGATGCTCCGAAACTTCACAATATTTAATTCGTATATTAATATTCGAAAAATTCCTTGCGCTGTCTGGGAATCGAACCCACGACCCCGCAGTCCTGACTCGGGTGCTCGTCCACTGCGCCAATCCTGCCTACACACAATCATATTATAGGTATTGGAACTTTCACTTTCTAACGTGGACTAGGCCTACAGGGGATACCACAATAAAAAAAACGCGCCTGAAACTCTACCTCTCAGGTGGTGGGGAAACGAGTTGGTTTGTCTATTTTTTCAAAATCTGTGATTGAAATTCTTAATTGACATTTTTCTTTCAGGCCTATACTGAACCCGGTAACGAATATCTACATAACCAAAACTCCAACTTTAGTGTCTTTGCGATGTGCATATACTAACTTCGATTCTAACAATATACAGTATGGTCAAAAGATTGGAAGTTGGTTGGATATAGGAGAGTTGCAAAATATATTAACACGCACCTCTTACTAGGCGTTTGCGGAAGTTTAGTTTCATACTTTTTTCGAAAAGTAGTCATAGGATTGAGTTGGGAAAAACCGCTGTCGACTTCGAACGCTCATGAGTTTTAGCACGTTTATGAGTGGGATCGTTGATGAGTTGAAAGTTGATGAAAGGGGTGCGTAGAATAGTTGTGTCGTTGATGAGATTTTTTCGGGGGCATATTGTGATTTGTTTGATGTTTTCTGAAAAACATTTTCGAGATGTTTTGCTAGCGGACCTATAATAAGACCACTAGATTTTGTTTACGAACAAATCACATTTTTTGACATAGTTGACTAGTGACTACTAGTTTTGCGATTCGGAGCAATTTTTCGTGTTATTATGTAATTACTTTTCCATAATTATTTTCACATTATTCGATGTATAAAAAAAACTAGTCATAGCATGGGTCTGAAAATTCCCAATTTGATTGAAATATCCATACTGAGTATATTGGTGGAAAAAAATCTTACATCGACGGTAATAATTTCGAATTAGAGGGTGATGAAAAAAATAGTGGTTTTTGAATATTTTTTCGTGGTTGTCAATTTTTTCAATCGATGAATCACTCTGTATATCATGGAACTCATTGGGATACATCCTTCAAAAATATTTTGAATGTCTGGAATCAACCCGATAATACGAGGTGGCCCAATGAACTTTAGGATAGACCAATTATGCAATCAACAGCATTAATGAAACACCATGTATAATTATTATATTTTACGAATTCAATTGATGTAAGAAGAGCATACTTGGCTATAAATCTCATTTTGTAATTGTTATCAATTTGTAGCATTGATATTCAGATATTCAAAAAAACACATTATTTGAAATGAGAATCACCCTGTAATAAAAATCAGTTTTGGTCGAATACCTATATAGTTCTTGCGCCTAAGGGCATAACTATTACGTGCTCCCGAAAAATTGGAATTCATTTGTCCTATCTTAGAGATATAGGCCGAGAAAAATTAGGTATTCTTCAACTTCAACACCCTGTATCTCGTAAACTAGTCATAGGATTGAGTTGGGACTTGGCATATTCAATCAGTATGTCGAGTACTATCATTTACCAAAAATTGGGGAAATTCGACGGAACGCCATTTTTATATAGAAAAAGTGCGGGGTCCTTTTCAGGCAATTCTTCAAGACTACTTGAGAAATTTGATCACCTTAATGCCACACCAGGCAATCATATGACGAATGATCACGTCACTGTGGCATCCCTAATTGGTGACTTTTCACGTCACACACCAATTTATGACGTCACTATGAGGTACTTTCTATGACGTGATAATCACGTCATCGTTTCGACGTCGAGTGAACGTCACTTAGATGGGTAAAAGAAGTCGTCAGTTTCATGACGTTGCAGGGACGTCCTGTCGACGTCCATTTTTCCCATACCTTCTCTAAACCATGGATACTTATATATTATCATGTGAAACAGAAGTATAACTCATGAAAGCAAATCAACATGCAAGTTTTATCGGAATTATTAATATACCCGAAAAGTATAGGAGAAAACTTTTTTCTAAACAACTTTGACACACTGTATATCTCGGAAACCAACAAGCTATGTATATATACAAATGATTGTTAAGGTATACCTATATTGAAACCGTATCTCTTATGACGTTGCAGTGACGTATCTGTGACGTCTAGAAATCTTGTCTGTGTGACGTACCAATTTGGTGAGCTTGGTCGTTCAGAAATTTTTTCAATAATTTGCTATTTTGATTTTTGTTGGGTGACGAAGAATGCATCAATATACATTGTTCAACAAAGTGAAGCCAAATTCGCCAACATCCTTTTCATTGCTATCAAACTATTCTTTGTTTGCTTACATTTCGCCGACACAAACTACATACTTTTTGATACAAATACGAGTAACTGATTGCATTCTGATGGAGATGCGTACTGAAGGATAGCGCTGCTGAATAGGCGATTGAATGAACATGGCACAGGAGGGACCCACCAAGCAGACTCAACAATGCATAATAAATATTATATAGATGTCATAAGAGGCCAGTGGTGTTTATCACACCATGTTAAATAAATCTTTTTTACGTCTCATCGCCAAATTCGATCGTCATTTTGACGTCATTATGATGTCAGTCGGACGTCACAGTTTGGCGAGTGAATGACGTCAATACGACGTGAGTAATATAACGTCATTGGGCTGTGACTTATTCACGTCATTAGCACGTCATGCGACGTCAACTACTGACGTCACCTTGGTCATTCAAGTGACGTAAAAAAGACGTCACTGGAACGTCATGTGGTTGCCTGGGACGGAAGTTGGATGCTTGAATTCAAACTCGAGGAGGCCATACTCGTTATTGACTAGAAGGTCTGCTTTTTATTTGTTTTTTGTAATCGAAGTTTTTTTCGCTAAGTTCTTCGAAAATGAGGTAGAAATGAGAATTATTGATTCTTCAAGTTGTTGATCAATATGTTCATGTAGGTTTTAATTATTATTGTTAATAAGAATTGAAAAATGCTATACTTTCTGAAAACATTCGTATATCTTCCCTTAAAAATAAGATATTGAGGTGAATCAACAACATTTGTGTTGAGAAGGGATCACACTTCAATCCAAAGCATCCAAAGCATAATGAAGCCAAGTTCAACCACACAAATTCGCCAAAAGTAATGGGTGAAGAAGTAACTTTGATTATTCTTCGTATAATGATCAAGTCATCAGCTCTCAACGGAAACTAATACTAAGGCTAACATTCCGAAACATGAGTACGATTCGATTTAAATTTCTCAAAAATCAGCCAAGGATTGGAACAGTTACAGGATGAACAATTTGGGCAATTTTGTTGGTAGCCGGTTATTTTTGCCGGTGAGTGTGTTAACCAGCAAATTTCCTCCTCAACACCAGGCGTCCATTTCCCCGAAACTTTGGACAGAGGCGCCGATCGGTTTGTACAATGGCGGCGGGATCAGGAATACCATAGAGCCGGTCGGATCGAATGACGTCACCAGAGGCGAGATTCTGGCTGCTATTCCGTTCGGCAACCAGATTTTGACACTCAAACTGAACGGTTCGGATCTGCTGGAAACGCTGGAGATCGGCGCTAGGACGAACGGCGAGACTTCGGGTGGGGAGTTCTTGCAGGTATGTGTGGGAGGTTTCCGATCTTTTCTACTATGCAAGTTCCAAGAATACAGAATACTTACTCATACCGGGGTGTTCATTTGAAAATTTCCCACCCGCCCCAGATAGCACAAGTATGTCTTATGGACGTCCTAAAGACATACGTCCATTTTTAGTACGACGGACGTCTTTAGGACGTCCATAGGACATACGACATACGATGTTAGAGAGGGAGAATTATACTTTATTGTTACACGAAATACATCATGGTTACAAAGCATGTAGGTCGACAGTACCTAAGGTCAATATAAAATAGTGAAATATTGAAATAATGTAACACTTATAATAATTCAAACAACAGTCAAACTTGACAAACATGTTACATAAATAAATTGAAATAAAATCATATAGGGTAATGTATAATAATCATATCACAGATCCAGTGAATCAGTAAAATATTCATCTAAACAATAATAGGGTATTTCTGGTAACATTAATAAATACTTTACAGCTTTCCTGAATGCATTGGATGGTCCAATGTCCTCTATACATCCTGGAGATATTTTTTTTCTCAATAAAATAACATGATCTTCGAATTTTAATTCACAATCGATATGGACTCCTAAGCGTTTTATACAGTTCTTATTCTCAATTTTTTTTTATCGCTTGGAGCGCACGAAAGGGAATCCCTATAATGTTCAAAAGCAAGTGTCAAATCATCAAGAGCACATGAATGTTATAAGATTCGTTTCGTTAATATTGAACGAGAGTTTATTAGATTCGCACCAATCTGTAATTTTAATTATATCTTCCTTTATAATGTTTGTTATGCCATATGATGGTCGTGTCGTCTGCAAATAATGTGAGCTTGTCAGAGATATTGATATAGGTCATGTCATTCACGTATAGCAGAAAAAAGAAATGGACCAAGGACCGAGCCCTGAGGAACCCCACAACATACTTTTTGTGTTGATTAAATTTCTTCTCTAGTTTTCACAATTTGTTCACGATTATATAAATATGACTGAATCCACTCATAGGAGAGTGTCCTGAAACCATAGTCATGTAGTTTCCGGAGTAATATTCCATGGTCGACACAGTCAAAATCTTTTGACAGGTCGCAGAAGACCGCTGCAACAGCATCACCACCATTGCATGATCTCAGTGTAGACCTCATACAATAAATTGAAAATAGCATCCGTTGTTTTTTTTTATTGTTTTGAAATCCAAATTGAATATCGCTTATAATATTATGTTAGGAGAGGAAACGCATTATTCTTATTTTTACCAACTTTTCAATTATTTTTGCGATAGTGGGGATAAGTGCAATTGCACGGTAGTCGGAAGGTTCGTCAGGATCACCTCCTTTATGAAGAGGGATTATAACTGAAGATTTTAATTATTCAGGAAATAATCCGAGGTACATAGGACGTCCGATTTTGGTCCGTTTCAGGTCTGAACTGGACCATTTTGGGACTATTGATTCGAACATTGGTTTCATAAAAATGAATACGTTTCTGAAATCATTATTAGACTGATATACATATAATCTCATTTTCCATGAGGATTACTCTTCCTCTATAAATACCCTGTCCAAACTAAAGGTGATATTTTCCCCACCTTGTTTCCAGGTGTCGGGGTTGCGGGTGGTGTACGACATGAGCAAACCGGCGTTTTCCAGGGTGGTCTCCGTGGAAGCCAGGTGCGGATTGTGCCCAGTGCCGGTTTACCAACCGATCGACCCATTGAAGACCTACACGATCGTCACGATCAGTTTCTTGACCCAAGGCGGCGACGATCATCATATCCTTCGCGATCGAGGATTCGATGAGGTCGTGGAAGATTTGGACGATATTGATACTGTCGTTTGGTATTTTCAGCATTACAATCCCGTTTATCCTGAGGTTCAGGGTAGGATACGGTTCGTTGAGCGGTCCACGAGTGGTGGAGCTAGTTTGGTGGTTGGGCCTCTTGGAGCTGGTTTATTGTTGTTCCTGTTCGTTTTCTACCATTTATGATGGATATGATTAGGATAGTGGAATGTTTAAGTTTAATTGGGCATGATTCCAGTTGAATTTAACTGGAACCTGCTGGTTCATGCTGTGACCCTTGATTTACTTTTATTGAAATCTTCATTTTTATAAAGTATGATCAATAGTATGACAATGTTTTTATATTTTTTCCTCAGATAATAAATCCCCTCCAAATAATTATTATCACCAGTAGAGTCACTGGATGATATTAATTAGATAAGAGTTCGGAGTTCGGACACAGAAATGACAACTGTTATTAGTGTTTTTGGATGTTTAGATTCAGTTTAGATTTAATAATAAAGTTACACACCTTGCATTGTGACAATAGCATCATAGTCGTTCCGCGCTTTTTCATTAAAAATTGTTTGAATTTGATTACAAAATTCTATGAACGTCAGAATTAAAATATAATTTCATACACTATTGAGAGAAAAGCATAAATGAAAATGTTCTGCATGCTGTGTAATGACTATCAATTGTGCCGATTACGGGAATTCTGAAGGGAATGGCGATTTCATTTCTTTAATTTTCCAAAGCAAATATCTATCATTCCTTTTTATACAGAGTGGGCCTTTGAAAACGAAACAGAGGCTCTGTAGGTCGCCAAAACCGGATTATCAAAAAAAACTGAAACAGGTCAACTACATTTTCGAGGGGGACATCTTTCTAAAATATTTTCAGCCCTGCGGCGTTGCCGCTTCTAACGAAAAGAAGCAACAACTTTGTTATTTCAAATGGAACACCTTGTATTTTATTGCATTCTTAGATTCTCTCTGAAGAGCCGAAATCATCAATGCATCACACTTGGGGTCTAGCTGTAATGGTTTCAGGGATATAAAGTGTTCAAAATCGAGATTTTTCAACTTTAACATTTTTTTGTGTCGAAACTATTCATTATTGGTCAAAACGGCTCTCATGTCCCTATCTCAACTTGTGTTTCACTATCTACCGACATTTATTTGAAACAAATACAGGGTGGTTCAAGATTCAGAATTCTGATCACCCTGTATATGTTTCAATTGAATGTTAGTAGATAGTAAATCACAAGTTGAGATAGGGACATGAGAGCCGTTTCGACCAATAATGAATAGTTTCGACACAAAAAAATGTTAAAGTTGAAAAATCTCGATTTTGAACACTTTATATCCCTGAAACCATTACAGCTAGACCCCAAGTGTGATGCATTGATGATTTCGGCTCTTCAGAGAGAATCTAAGAATGCAATAAAATACAAGGTGTTCCATTTGAAATAACAAAGTTGTTGCTTCTTTTCGTTAGAAGCGGCAACGCCGCAGGGCTGAAAATATTTTAGAAAGATGTCCCCCTCGAAAATGTAGTTGACCTGTTTCAGTTTTTTTTGATAATCCGGTTTTGGCGATACCTACAGAGCCTCTGTTTCGTTTTCAAAGGCCCACTCTGTATAGAAGGAATGCATGAAAAGGCCCGGATGGAAAATCAATTTGAAGACAACAAATTTCATGAACGTCAGAATTAAAATAATTTCAAAGCATACATGAAAATGCCCTGCTGTGTATAGTAAATTGCGGGAATTTGAATAACGGAATGGCGATTTCATTTCTTTAATTTTCCATAGCGAATATCTACCATTCCTTTATATATACTCAGTTCCAAAAAAAGTGACGCTATTGATATTTCACCTATCTTCTACCAAAAAAAAAAAAGAATAGTAGGCCATTTTTATTTTTTTCTTATTTGTTGGTAGGTAATGCATTTGTGTTTGAAAAAAAATAGAGAGGTGAAAATATTTTCAAAGCCTCCTTGATGGAGGAATCTTGTTGACATGGGTACCTGGGGTGATGAGGATAGCCCCATCAGGCCGTACATACGGCCTGGTGCCTCACCAATTGGGTTGGACTCCAGGGGGCAGCGGTTTCCAAAAAACACCACCGGACTACCATGGGTCAAGTGGGATGAAATCTTGCCTGCCTCGGCGGGTGAGCAGCGTTTCTGCTCGGGCACTGACACTGCAGAGCCAGTAGTCTATTTTAGATTTAGAATAAGATTTAGAATGGGGCCTTCGGGCTATCTGCCTCCACACCGCGACCTTTTCAGATCTATTGTGTCTGCCCTCAAAATCGATTAGAGTTCTTCGGCTAGCCCCGTCTTCTCTATGAGACTCCATAGGCTAGCTTTCAGATCCCCTGTGTATCTCTGGGCTTCTGGTTTTTCCTCACCCAGCGTAAGGAACCTTAGTCTTGACAAGCCCTCACAGTGGCAAAGTATGTGTACTGCTGTTTCCTCCTCTTCCTGACAGAACCTGCACAGCAGTTCTTCAGTCAGACCTATCGTACTCATGTGTTTGTTGAGCCTACAATGCCCTGTGAGAAGTCCCACTAGTATTCTAGTTGAACTTCGTTTCTGGCTCAGTAGATATTCTGTGAATGTTGGCGATGGTTTTTTAATAAACTCTTTTGCCTGTCTCATTCCTGGCGATTTGTTCCACCATTCTTGAGATTTGGTTTGCATCCATGATTTGATACTAGTCTTTTGTATAGCTTTCGCAATACCACAGAAGGGTTCTGGGCCATTCAGAGCTTTGTTTGCTCCTGCTCGGGCAAGTGAGTCTGCCTCTTCATTGCCCTCGTACCCTGTATGTGCTGGTACCCATGCTAGAGTCAGTCTGTTCTGACTGCCCAGTGCATTTAGGGTTTCTAAGCAGTCCCATACTAGTTTTGAGTTAACTTGCATAGAGTTGACTGCTTTGATTGCCGCCTGGCTATCTGAATAGATTGCAATGGTTTTGCCTATAAACTCTTGCCTTATCAATTCTTTCACGCAATGATGTATTGCAATAATTTCTGCCTGAAACACCGTCGCGTATTTACCTAAGCTCAGTGAGATTCTTGTCTTTGGCTTGGCCCCATAAATACCAGCTCCTGATCCAAACTCAGTTTTGGAGCCGTCCGTATAGACAGCAATGTCTGCATTGATAGGAGGTCCTTCCTTCCATGCCTCTCTGTCCGTTATACTTATTTTAAAAGTTTTTTCAAAGCTATATTTTGGAATTATGCCATCCGTTGGCATTCCCATGATGGGGTCGCTTTCCAACTCTTCATATAGCTTTCTATAGTCTTTACCGTGCGCGTTGCTTATGGGTGCTTGACCCCTTGAAAATTATGCCATCCGTTGGCATTCCCATGATGGGGTCGCTTTCCAACTCTTCATATAGCTTTCTATAGTCTTTACCGTGCGCGTTGCTTATGGGTGCTTGACCCCTTGACAATCTACTCACGACTGCTCTGGCTTCGCCTTGAATATATATTTGTAGTGGTGGTAGGTTCAAGAGGACCTCCAAAGCGGCTGTTGGAGTGGTTTTCATTGCACCAGTGGCACTCAGGCAAGCTTGCCTTTGAATAGCACTGAGCCTTCGAATCACTCCAGCCTGTTGTAGTAGTCTATTTTATTAGACGGCTTCACCATTGGTATAATGAAATGGTAGCAGGAGAACATGCCGTTACATAACGGAGATGGCTCTAGCGCGCTGATTTGGCGTATCCAAATCCTCCATTTCTCTCGGGGGTGCTGTCGGTACAAGTCGAAATATAGTGACCGGCAGTTATCCCCTATGGGAGTCTTGTGAGAGGGGGGAGAAATCCCACCTTGTTGCTACCCCGGCAACTCTGATTTATCATTATTAGTAGTAGTAGCAGCTTTGTTATTCAAAATGGAACACCTTATATTTTATTACATTTTTCGATTCTTCTAATTGAGCTATGATTTCGTTGATCAAGCTCAAGGTATACCTATACGTAGAATGTAAAAATCGAGATTTTTTTTGTATCGAAACTATACAATACCTATTAACCTAACCTAACCTAACCTGACCGGCAGTTATCCCCTATGGGAGTCTTGTGAGAGGGGGGAGAAATCCCACCTTGTTGCTACCCGGCAACTCTGATTTATTATTATTAGTAGTAGTAGCAGCTTTGTTATTCAAAATGGAACACCTTATATTTTATTACATTTTTCGATTCTTCTAATTGAGGTATGATTTCGTTGATCAAGCTCAAGGTATACCTATACGTAGAATGTAAAAATCGAGATTTTTTTTGTATCGAAACTATACAATACCTATATTGATTTGTCAAAATGGCTTACATGTGTCCCTATCCTAACATTCTATTTACTATCTACTGATGCCATTTAATTGAAACAGATACAGGGTGGATCAGATTTCAGAATTATATAAAAGAAGTACTACTAAAAAAATATATATATTTGAAATAAATAAAACAAATATATCACATGAAAAAACACACTCTAATATTCAACATAAAATAAAATTCTATCCCACTGGATGTATTTAAAAATATAAACAGTGTGCATGTCACTTCTAATGGAATCAACCCGTATATCTAACGTAACTGTTCAATTTTCAGGAGCGATAGATATATATACCAACTATGACCAAAGTGGGGCAATCTTCAGTGAAATACACTGCTCGGGTCATGGACCCACCAACATTTCCGGAAAATGATACTAGGAGGCAAGATAGGTTGAAAATCACTTCGGATTCGAAATCAGGACGTCCAATTCACTGACTATTCATATTGTTCCTGAGAAATGTTCAGTTCTGAAAAATCAAATTTTGTTTCAATTTACATGAAAGCACACCCGTATCTTACGTAAGTATTCTATTCACAGCAGCAAGAAAGATAGATACAATCAATGAGCAGTCTATACAGGGTGTTTCATAATTGGATGTCAATATTCGAGTAGGCGATTCTTGAGCCCATTCTGAGAAGAAATTTTCATATGAAAGTATGACCTAAACGTCCTAACTTTTTAGATACAGGGTGGTAAAGTTCTCAAAAATTAATAAAGCCTATTACAATAGAAAGTTATGATTCCAAAACACCAAATACGAATAGAAAGTTCATAAACTATGGATTGTATTACTGAAATTTGATCTAAAAAATAAAATCTATTTCTCTGCATTGTGATATTGTCATATTAACGATATT